AAAAACACCAGACTTTTCATACCCTTATCACAGTTAGAGCATCAAGTGAGTGACTTATAGTCAAAAGAGGAATCAATAAATAGAGTGGTTCCTTGTCATTCGGTGCAGCTACAAGCAGCATGTCGGAGGTAAATGCAGACCCTACCGAACCAAATACATAAAACAGTGAACTACCACAATGTTCTAAAGTGGCATGCACACCTCACAAAAAACAGCTGACTCCTCTTAATTCACAAGAAATGTTCAAACGTGACGTACCCATCGCGCAAAAAGCAGCAGACCCTGCTTGAACAACAAGTCGAAAACCAAATTATATTCCACAATAACTCGATTAAAGTGTTAAACGATATAAATTTTTATGCCGAAGGTTCTGGCAGCCAGTGCTCCTTCTTTCGTGGAAAAGTAATTGTATTATTGTTTCACGTTTTTATAAATAAATAAATAAATAAATTTTAATATAAAAAACATTTTTAAAACATTGAAAAAAAATAAATAAATTAGAAAAACGGAGACTAACCTTTGAAAAGGAAAAATTTCTATATAAACAAAAAATTGATGAATTGAGAAACTGAAAATGTAAATTAAATAACTATATAACTGCGAGAAGTAGAATTAAAAACTACAAATTTAATCTGTAATTATTTAAATTTAATTTTCCTTATTACAATCATATAAAATACTGGATTTATTAATTTGCAAATAGTTCATTTTAATTAAGTTGAGTTACGAGCATTTATCATATTTGTTTTAATATCGTCCCTAACGTTTCTAGCAATAGTAATAAAATTACCACTATTAGGTAAATCTATATTAGTGGTGGAAAATTCTTCTGGCTCAAGTGTAATATTAATTTTTACTTCTACCTTGTACAAAACGCATATAAATTTTAACGACTTTTTCAGGCGCGTAATGTAGCTCTCTTGCAGATAACAAGCATCGAAATCTCTCTTTCAATACACCAAACACGCGTTCAATCAGTTATCGGCCTTTTGTAAACTGCTGGTTGAAATAGAGTTCGTCAGAGCGTTCTGGTGCATTCCTATATGGTGTTAACAGCCAAGGTTCAAGAGGATATCCGGAGTCTCCTATAATAATAATAACAAAATCATATACACAAGTGTTGCTGAGATACAACAATTTTATCTTATTATCTTATGGAGATTTAGCCGCCATAAGTTATTATTACTACAGTTATATATACTCACCAAGAATTCGTTCGCTTCTTGTCTAAATGTCTCTCAGTCTACACCGTCATTGACAGACAAAATCATCATGAACGAACAGCACACCTCACTCACACATGATACCACACTACCAACTAGAACACAACAACTTTCAAAAAAAGGGACGGACAACTCCAGGCGCACTACACTTCGCGTTTTGCTTCCGTACGAGTTAAGACTCCGGCACTTGCGCATACGTTTTTTTTCGCATCATCTCGGCCTTTTCCTCCGTCTAATAAAATCAGTGTATTTCGCCGATTACTATAATTTATAATTTTGAAAATCTCGCTATAATCGATCTATTCCGCCATCGATTTGTGTAAATTATAATTGTGAACTTTTTGCCACAGTTAATCCGAAATATAATATATGTATACATATAAGAATATAAGAATATTTAAAAGGAAAACCTCCCGTGCTTTGTGTTATTTGCTAGAAAAGTGAGTTTCAGTAAAACAAAAAGTGATTTCGCTACTTATGAAAACATGGTTAAAAAACAAAAAATATATATATATATATAAAACAGTGGGGTGAAAAATACTTAAAAATCAAAAAAATTGACATATGCAGTGTTAATGGAGTGCAACACAGTGTGGATATATCAACACATATATGTATGTATGTATCCATAAAGTGAAGCGAACAAAAACACACATAATACATAAATAACAAAAAGTAATGTAAAAGGGTACAAAAACAAACATATACAGGCAATCGGACGCGCGAAACCCAAGAACAAAACATAAATCGTTTGCCAAATCTGGGATTGTCTAAACAATAAAATACACACAAAAACAAAACAATCGGGCTCGAACAAAAAATAGCTGCAAAATATTGAAAACCAAAAATAGAAGGTGTACCTGAAAGCGGCTGCAAACCTTAAGGAGAAAAGGAGTGGAGACGGCATAAAGACAACACATGCACTTACATAGATGTCTACACCTACACAGCTCTTGAAGTAAGCATGTGAGCGTATTTAATCTATTTGCCATATTTACCGAGTGCAGATAAATTACATAAAATAATAAAAACAAAAAAAACAGACCCAAAAGCATGTACAAAAAGCACACAAGGAAAATAGGAGGCATACCAAGAGCAGTGGAATAAGAAGAATAAGGAAACAAACATTAGGGCAAGCCACAAATAAGTACTCTCTCCCAAAATTCCCTTGATGCGAGAAATGGTAAGTGTATCGCTTCCACCTTTTACTTATATGCATGTACATGTGTATGTATGTTTAAAAAATTGGTTCATCTAAACGGATACTAAAATTTAATATGTGTGCATCAAAATACCGATATTAAAGTTAATAAAATACATACGTGTATTTAATTTACTAATGCCTATGCATGCTTTTCTTTGCGAACACAATCACACAAAGCAAAATAAAAACATCTCTGCTTGCATTATTTTCCGGCACACCTTCTGCATTTAAAGCAGCAACCGAATTGCGCTAATAAGCAAATGGCATATTAAAAAGTACAAAACGAGAAATAAAAAAAAGGGAATAAACATATATACAGAACATATGATTTATAAACTGAAACACACATACATATATACATGCAAACCAACTTTTCATAACTTAGAAATTATCTAATAATACAACCGTATTATACTTACC